TGTGCGTTCTACATAGTCTCCCTGAACATAAGACCAAGTTGCGACAACGAGGTCAACCCACTTCTATTTTTCGCTCTATGTTGATTGAAGAGATTTAAGGACTTTTATTCTAGTTATTATAACATTGGGATGGCCCCATGATGCCAGTAAATTTCATTTAGCCTTTCCTCCCAAAAGCTTATTTTGTTTAGGGTAGATCGCTGTTTTGGCATCGCCTGGGCCTAATCAGTGGATTGATAAACTCCGCCACAATACTCACGGCCCATTATTGAATTACACTGTGGGCGCTGATGAGGCCCAGATGAGGCCGAATATGCTCTCCATTATTGATGAGAAAGGCTTTTGTGTGGCAAGGCTGAGTGAACTTTACTGGCATCATGAGGCTTACTCATCTTATTGTGAGAAAAGCTTAACTTAATCTCAACTTAACTGATCTCATAGAAGTTGTTTGACCTTGGTTTCGCAACTTGGTCATAGCAGCGAGACCTAGAGGAACGCACCTTGTCCGGAGTCCATATTATTCATGATAATTTCCAGCCGGACAATAGACTTGGTACATTTCCAGAAGTTTTGCCGGCGTATATTAGGCATTGACCTCACCAATCATCTTCAAGATTAAGTCCGTGCACCATGGGAAAAGTGTAGACATGTTTTACTGGTCCCCTGCTGCATCTTAAGTGGATTATTAGTCCATTTATTCACAATGCCCGATTTTTCTGACCCTATCCCTCTTCTTAGTCACATGGAACGTCAGGCCACCAAGTTGTAGTGGTATCTTTGATGAGCTGTAACTTGGTTGCTGAGACTGGCAAGACTAACTGATGATGCCGGTGAAACGTCTGGAAATGTTTCAAGTCCACGGTCTAACTTATAATTATCAGGCATACTATGGATTCAGGACAAGGTGTGTTCCCCTAGGTCTTCCTTCTAATATGACCAAGTTGCGAAGACCAAAATGTTGTGGCCTCTGGTATCGTCGCAGTCTCCGTTCGATTTATAGAAGTAGGTTGACCTCGTTGTCGCAACTTGGTCTTGTTATCAGGGGGACTCAGTAGAACGCACCTAGACCGAAGTCGTCTTCCATAGTAGTTTTCATGATTCCCAGCATCAGAAAGTGGACTTGGTATATTCTCAAACGTTTCGTCGGCATCGTTGTCGGCATCATAAGTGAGTTTTGTCATTCGCCACACCAAACTACGAACTTGTCAAAGAGACAAGTGAAGCCAATCCTTCGACAAATGTTCCGCCGAAAACGGTTACGCTATCACTCCTCTTTCTGTCCTGGCCTATCTATCTACTCTTTACCCTCTTATCCCACTGCCGCCCTATCACAACTTCAGAATTGTTTACATTCCACTCGTCAAAATGTGTGGAAAATCTAGTGTGGCCTCATCACAATTTCTATTCACCTCGACCCATTTCTTTTTCGATTGGCTGATCCGTCTCGGGCCTGTAATCCGGATCCCCTCATTGTCTCATAGATCCGTTCCTTATATTTCTGGTTGACCGATTTCACTCATTTCCAGTCCAGTTTGCATTTCACTCCAGGCACTATTTCGGAAGGCCCTAGAAGCACGTACACTGCCGCTTCCCATGCTTGCAGATATCAGGCCTTCCCTTCACGAGTCCTCTACCTTGATTAATCCCATGTTATCTGAGCAAACTGTGGACGCCTATCTCTGGTCGCATGCGGCATCTCAAGTGGATTTCTAGTGCATTTTTGGCATAACGCCTAATTTTCGTGACGGTTTGCTTATCTGTCTGCCCAGGTCCCTGACTGCAAGTCCCTCAAAGTTGTATTGGTTTATTCGAAACGGACATCACTGACTGACAACGTCTTCGCTTGATTGCCGAAAACCCCTGCCGCCCACTCTCTTCATCGGTATCCCTTTTCCTTCGGTTAGCGGCAGATCCTTGAGCTAGGCGTCTCTTTTTTGCTAGTCTTGCTCTATTCTTGTTTTTCCCAAGTTTGCCTAGAGAGTAGGCAACGTTATCACTAACTCTATCTTCCTCCAGTCTTCTGTTCATTAGATTTTTCTCCCCAAGTATGTCAATGGCCTCCCTTATCTTCTGCTTCCTTGTGTTATCACCGTATGGGGCTCTTCTTTATGTTGCCCTCCTATTGATCTCGTGTCAAGCCTGTGCGACGTGTTCCGTTAGTTCTGATCTTTCGATATCTATTTTCCTGCAGAGCCTCTGATGTTCCTTGATTCGTGTGCTAATTTTTCTCCCTGTTTCGCCAATATATTTTTGATCGCAGGCGCCGCATGATATACAGTAAACTCCTAAACAATCCCATTTGTCTACTCCTTCATGTTGCGTTGGTAGACTTGTGAAAAGTGTTGATTTCTCCTTCATGACCACCTGAATATTCCATTGACTTAATATTGGCCGTAGTTTTTGAATAAGTTCGCAGAAACGTAGGCATATTCACTTTTGTGAATCCTTCATCCTCATTATTGTCCTTTCATAGTCCCCGTTCTGCCATCGGCTTTTCACGGCCGGTATTTTTCTTTGTATTACTTCGCTAGGGTAGCCATTGCAGAGGAATATCTCCGTCAATTTGTCCAGCTCATCGTCCCAGAATTCTACATCCTTTAAGCGTAGGCTTCGGATGATCGTGCTCCTCATTATTCAAATCTTCAGCCTGTAAATGTCATGGGACCCGAAATGGAGTATTATCCCAGCATAGGTATTCTTTTTGAGTCCCATTAGAACGAATCACTTTAACGTCCAGAAACGGTAACCGCTGACCTACTTCCATCGTGAATTGAATTTTTTTATCTATTTGATTTTCAAACTTCAGAAACTCTTCCAGTTTTTCTCCTCCATGTGACCAAAGTGCGAATAAATCATCCAAGTACCGCATGAGCACTTCCGGTTTTAGCGGTGCCATCTTGAAGCTCTCTTCTATTTTGTTCTTGTATACTTTGGACAAAAGTTGTAAGAGTGGCGATCCCATGGGAAGTCTAATATTTGTGTATAGATGCTCCCGTTGAATGTAAAATAGGTTGTCCTTATTGTCAAGTTGATTAGTCTTGTTAAGGACTCCCTACCGAGCTGTTGTGATTCCATGATATCATTCTCTTGGTCTAGGATTTCCAGCAGGGCGGTTGGCGCATTTTCTCCAGAGATATTTGTATACATGGATTCCACTTGAAACTTACCAATAAGTCCGTTTCTTCGAGTGACACAAATTGGCAAAGCTTATATCTATGAAACTCAATAAATTAAATGAGAGGCTATCAAACACAGTGAAACATTCATATTAATTTTCTTAAAAAAATCAAAAACATGGCACTTGAAGAAATAGACTTATTGGTAAGTTTCGATGTGGAATCCATGTATACAAATATCTCTGGATAAAATGAGCCAACGGCCCTGCTGGAAATCCTAGACCGAGAGGATGATATCCTGGAATCACAGCAGTTCGGTAGGGAGTCCTTAACAAGACTAATCAACTTGACAATAAAGGCAACCTATTTTACATTCAACGGGAAAATCTATACACAAATACCTGGACTTCCAATGGGATAGCCGTTCTCACCACTTTTGGCGAAGACTTTGTCAGTGAGTGATGTTCGTTTCTAATAAACCAGTACAACTTTAGGGCCTGGCAGTTAGGGACAATGCTGGTAAAAGTGTCAAGTAATGACAAGTGACATCACATTTCATGTCATGATGTAAAATTAGAGTAGTATAAATATCTATAGCTAGTTTACTTATTAGATTTCAATTAAATTAAAGAT